ACCCCCCCCCCCGCCGGCCCGGCCCCGGCCGTGGGCTCCTCTGCCTCTCCCGCGTCGAGGAGCGGCTCGGCGGCCGCCGGCCCGCCGGCTTTCCCTTGCGCCAGATACTCCTGCAGTTGGCGGTGGAGGTCCGCCATCTTGGGCGGGGCTCTGGGAAGGGGAGGGCTACCGCCCACTTCCGGTTTTGCTCGGTCGCCGTTGGAAGCGGCTCGGCTCTCGGTCGGCTGTCGGTCGGCCTTGGCGGAAGGGGCGGGGCCTGAGGCTCCGCTCCTTCAGCTGCCTCCGCTGGACCCGGGGCTTGGGACTTTGCTGATCCCTGTACGTTTACCCTCCTAGCCCCGGACCTTGTCCTGTGTCCGGTGTAGGCGCCGTGAGGGCCTTGATAAATCATGGCAGCATTAAAAGTTAGTTGGGGGGCGTGAGTCGGTGTGGTTATAAAAGAACTTGTAGGAAACTTAACGTGTCTTGACCTTATGGATGTCAGTATCTTGTGATATTGTGTTATAGCTTTTCAAGGTGTTGCTATTGGGGGAAAATGGGGAAAGGGTACACGGGGTCTACGTATTTCTTAAAACCATGCTAATCTATGTCAGTGAACTTAATGTTTTTAGAAGCTCAGACTGCAGGTCTTAGGTGGTTTCTTTGGTAAAGCTACAGAGGTGAAGAAGAGTTAACCCCCCACTCCCTCCAGTTTGCTTCTTTTCTCTTCCCCGTTTCAGCAGAGGCCTGGAAATATTCTTGAGTCTTTCAGGCCCCTTATCATGTATCCTTGGCCCGCCTTGCGATGCTCCTCGCACTTCTGGGTGTTCTGAGGTAGCTCCCACAGCCCTGCTCTTTTTCAGAGCCTCCTTGAAATTCTTCAACCAGTGGTCACGTAGGTCACAACTTTCCGGGTCTCTGCCAGGGCTTCATCCCCCTCTGGTTTCTACCTAATTCCCATTCCCGGACGTTGGATCAAGCTGCACCTCCTGCTATTTACTCCTGTCCCGCTTAGGTGCACTTTTTCTGAGTTCTCATCTATTCAGTTGTGAAAGTTTATTGGTTTAAGGCAGTGCCAGCAGCTTGAGGACAGGTTCTCTTCCATCTCCCTTTTCCTGGGGCCCGGAAGGCTGCTGCAAAGGCACACAGACAGGTGTTGACCAGATTGACACAGTTGTCCATTTGTGTACAGTAAAGCTGCCTGAAAGGCTTTGTAGATACTTCTGTTTTTAAAAAATAATTTATTTATTTGGTTGTGCCGAGTCTTAGTTGCAGCAGTCGGGCTCCTTAGTTGTGGCTTGCAGGCTCCCTTGCTGGCCCCTTAGTTGTGGCATGCCAACTCTTAATTGCAGCATGTGTGTGGGATCTAGCTCCCCGACCAGGAGTTGAACTTGGGACCCCTGCATTGGGAGCACGGAGTCTTAACCACTGCACCACCAGGGAAGTCCCCAGTAGATACTTCTTTTGTAGATGTAGAAGCCATTGGTTGAAAAACCTATTTTGCTAGACTTTCCAAATACCTGTTGTGAACGTGAACATGATGGCATGGAAGTCCTTTTGTACTGTAAAGTGTGATACAGTTAAGTAATACAGCAGTCTACTCTTGTACAAGTCTTCGGCTTACTTGCCCCAGAAGTACTGGGAGTGGAAGGCAGGGCTGACCACTCTAGGCTGTTTCCGGTATCCCTGGCTTTGGAGGCACTGCAGGAGGTGAACCCAGGGTATTTCCCCCGTGTCTGCCGCTTTTGGCTGTACTGGCTTCCCCTGGGCAACTCCTGCTGATGGGCTGGTAACACCCCTTTGTTCTCTCCTCTATGAAAAGGTTGATATTAATGGCTTTCTCTGATTTTTCAGTCTTCCTGTTACCTGTGTAACCTGTTTCCCGCATTAAATTCCCCTTAATACTTTCTGTTTTCCTGGTTGGATCTTGGCAGTTACTGTTGGTCCTGAACCAAACTTGGTTCCACTTGCCCGATGTGAGCAAAGCCAATCCACTGACACTGGATTGTGGTGGAGGAAAGCGCAGCGTTTACTGCAGGGCGCCCAGCACCATGCTCAGAGGACCCGCACTCCCCAGTGGCTTTCAGGGAAGAGCTTTTAAAGACAGTGGGAGGGCGAGGGTCACAGGGTGCATGATCAGCTTGTGCACAGTTCTCTGGTTGATGGTGAGGTTAAGAGGATGATGTTTCAGGAATCTCAGTCATCAGCCTTCTGGTTCCAACAGGTCTGGGGTCTATGTGCAGGTGGTGAGCATGCAGTTAACTTCCTCCACCTAGTGGAGGTTTTAGTGTCTGCGAAACAGCTCAAGGGTATGGGTCAGGATATTATCTACAGCCCTTGAGAAAGAACTAAAGGTCCTCAACTTTGTTTTATGGCTAAACTATTATTATTTTGTATGGCTTGACTGCTTTCCTTTGTTTCTTCATTTTCTCACTTTGGTCTTTGGAACTCGGGGAACACATAGGAGGCTAAAGCTTTTCTACAAACAAGAAGTGGAGACATGGGGAGGTCTCTCCCTGGAAGGGTCCTGCTTGGTTTCAGTATGCTTTTTCAAATACATTCCAATTTGTTATCTCACATGTGTCACCCTAAATAAAGGGGTAAACCGAGGCAAGCTTAAGTTACCAGAAATTGAACTTATTCGGGAATAGCAGAGGAATTGTATTTCAGGAAAAGCAAACTGTAGCAGCTACAAGGGAGTCCGTTGAGGTTTGGGCTGGGCTGTATTTATGAGCAAGGAGTGCCTAGAGCAGGGAGTCTAGCCAGAGTCCAAGCAGTAAGTTTGGCTTGAGGATGGGGAGATATATATTTTTTAATTGGAGTATAATTGCTTTACAATTTTGTGTTAGTTTCTGCTGTGCAGTGAAGTGAATCAGCTGTATGTATACATATCTCCACTCCCTCTTGGACCTCCCTCCCACCCCCCATCCCACCCATCTAGGTCATCACAGCACTGAGCTGAGCTCCCTGTGCTGTACAGCAGGTTCCCACTAGCTATCTGTTTTACACATGGTAGTGTATTTATGTAAAATCTAATCTCCCAATTCATCCCACCCTCCCCTTCCCCCCTTCCATGTCCACATGTCCGTTCTCTACATCTGCCTTTCTATTCCTGCCATGCAGATAGGTTCATCTGTACCATTTTTCTAGATTCCACATATATGTGTTAATATATGATATTTGTTTTTCTCTTTCTGACTGACTTCACTCTGTATGACAGACTAGGTTCATCCACATCTCTACAAATGACCCAATTTCATTTCTCTTTATGGCTGAGTAATATTCCATTGTGTATATATATGTACCGCATCTTCTTTATCCATTCATCTGTCGGTGGACATTTAGATTGTTTCCGTGTCCTGGCTATTGTAAATAGAGCTGCAGTGAACATTGAGGTACATGTGTCTCTTTAAATTATGGTTTTCTCAGGGTATATGCCCAGTAGTGGGATTGCTGGATCATATGGTAGTTCTATTTTTAGTTTTTTAAGGAAGCTCCCTACTGTTCTCCATAGTGGCTGTACCAATTCACATTCCCACCAACAGTGCAAGAGGGTTCCCTTTTCTCTGCACCCTCTCCAGCATTTATTGTTTGTAGATTTTCTGATGATGCCCATTCTAACTGGTGTGAGGTGATATGTCATTGTAGTTTTGATTTGCATTTCTCTAATAATTAGTGCTGTTGAGCATCTTTTCATGTGCCTCTTGGCCATCTGTATGTCTTCTTTGCTGAAATGTCTATTTCGGTCTTCCGCCCATGTTTTGATGGGATTGTTTGTTTTTTGATACTGAGCTGCATGAGCTGTTTGTATATTTTGGAGATGAATTCTTTGTCCTTTTCTTCATTTGCAAATATTTTCTCCCATTCTGTGGGTTGTCTTTTCATCCTGTTTTTGCTTTCCTTTGCTGTGCAAAAGCTTTTAAGTTTCATTAGGTCCCATTAGCTTATTTTTGTTTTTATTTTCATTACTCTAGGAGGTGGGTCATAAAAGATCTTGCTGTGATTTATGTCAAAGAATGTTTTTCCTATGTTTTCCTCTAAGAGTTTTATAGTGTCCAGTCTTACATTTAGTTTTTTAATCCACTTTGAGTTTATTTTTGTATATGGTGTTAAGTAGTGTTCTAATTTCATTCATTTACATGTTGTTGTCCAGTTTTCCCAGCACCATTTATTGAAGAGGCTGTCTTGTCTCCATTTTATATTGTTGTCTCCTTTGTCATAGATTAGGTGATCATAGGTGTGTGGTTTTATCTCTGGGCTTTCTGTCTGTACCATTGATTTATATTTCTGTTTTTGTGCCAGTACCATACTGTCTTGATTACTGTAGCTTTGTAATGTAGTCTGAAGTTGGGAAGCCTGATTCATCCAGCTCTGTTTTTGTTTCTCAAGATTGCTTTGGCTGTTCGGGGCCTTTTGTGTTTCCATACAAATTGTATATTTTTTTGTTCTAGTTCTGTGAAAAATGCCACTGGTAATTTGATGGGGAGAGATTCTTGGTGAATGTTCAGTTCTGTAGCCACTAGCCACATGTAGTTTGAGCAACCTGAAAGGTGGCTGTTGAGTTGGAAGAACTTCATTTTAAATTTTAATTAATTCATTATTTATAATGAATTATATTTATACTATAACTTATATTATCAACATAATTTATAAAATATAATTTATTATAACATAGCATCATTATATGATCAAATTGATAAGAGCCACATGTGGCCAGTGGCTTCTGTATTGGACAGCACAGCTTGGAGCACGTTGGAAACATGGGCATTTTGGTTATCACCGTGACCAGCGGGCACCGGAGGCATTTGTTCCACAGTGCCTGCAATGTCAGGCTTTGGTGAAAGTCAGAGTGTCTGGGCTGGGATGGCTTGTTCCTCCACAGGGGTTCTGGCAGAGCAGTCTGATCTGAGAACCCAGTGTTTTCTCAGCTCAGCTCTGCAGACCTCGCTGCCTGCCCCATGGCAGGGCTACTTGAGTCAGGGCCCTCCCCTGGGGGAAACCAGGGAAGCGGGCCGTCCTACACAGGAGTTCCTCGTGCGTAATGAGGGCCCATCACAGTGTGTCTCACTGTTGAGCAGGGTTTTGTGTGTCCAGCTCGCTTAACCTGAGAGACATCCTTGTGCTGTTTCCTTGGGTAGCCACCCTGGGCACCGGCGCC